CCTTGGTTCCTCCTTCCTGCTCCATAACCTGTGTCCCATTAATCACCAAACTTTGCCAATGCAACCTCCTAGGATGACTGAAACCCACCCCTCTTCTCTCCCAAGACCTTACTTGAAAATTTCTAATGGGAACCACTAGAATAACCCCTACGTTTTGGATTTGTAAATGTAAAGAGGACATATTCAAAATATCTAAAAGGAAATACAATGAGGATGCACTCCCCTCCATATCTGCTCCAGCTTGTGCTGCTTTTTCCAAAGACAGTCTATGAGTGAAGAAATGGCTGATTCTAGGATGGAGGTAGGAAATATACAAGATGACTCTGGAGCCCTTGTCATGCCAGAAAGTAAGGAGGTGCTCAAAATACTCACCCCGACCCCTCACAGATAGAGGTATGTTAAAGGAGCATGGGAGCCTACTGAGAGAGTTCCCAATGGCCCAAACTGAAATGATTTGAGCAACAAAAGAAATGAAGTGGCGGGGCGCTGTGGCTTATGCCTGTAACCCTAATATTTTGGGAGGCTGAGGTGGGAGAATTGCTTGAGCCTAGGAGTTTGAGAGCAGCCTGGACAACATAGCGGGGCCTTGTTTCTACATAAAAGGAAAAAAAAAAAATTGCTGGGTGTGGTGTTGCATGACTGTAGTCCCAGCTACTCAGGGGGCTGAGGAGGGAGGATCCCTTGTGCTCAGCAGTTTGATGCTGCAGTGGTGCAGTGAGCTATGATCACAGCAGTGCACTCCAGCCTAGGAGAAAGCAAGGCTATCTCAAACAAACAAACAAACAGACAAACAAACAAAAAGAAATGAAGTAGGGTATGGTTTATAGTCCAAAGTGAAAAATAAGTATCTTTCAGTCCATAGTAGTATAATGAGTGAACAAATAAATGGGAGAAGAGACATATCTCCCATGCAGAATAAGTCCAAATAATTTATGTAGACACTCTGTCCTCAAAGAGGGGCAGCATAATTCCCCACCCCTTTGGCGTGGGCTAAGCATAGTGACTTCTTTCCAAAGTACACAGTGTGGAGAGGAGGAAATAAAGAGTAACTTACAGTGGAGAGTGGAGAGAGAAACTGACAAACACTACCTCAATCAAGTAATCAAGGCCAATATTAACCGTCGTAAATCATGTTGGTAGCATACACCCTTGATAGGATGTGATGAAAATGGCACTTTTACTTCTGTGATCTTCCTTCCCCAAACCCATAACCTCAGAGTAATCATGAAAAAAAAGTAAACAAATTCTAATAATGGGGCATTTTACAAAACACCTAACCGGTACTCCTCAAGATTGCGGTGAGCCGAGATAGCGCCATTGCACTCCAGCCTGGGTAACATGAGTGAGACTCCGAAAAAAAAAAAAATTAAAAAAAAAAAAAAAACCCAAAAAAATCTGAGACACCGCCACAGCTAAGAGAAGCCTGAAGAACATGACAACTAAATCTAATGTCCCAGAACCAGAAAAGGCCATTAGGTAAAAAAAAACTAAGGAAATTTAAAAACAGCGGACTTTAGCTAATAGTAATAATGTATCAGTATTGGTTCATTCATTGTAACTAATATATCATACTAATATGTTAATAATAGGGTAAACTGAGTGCAGTTTACATGGGAACTCTTGTACTACCTTCTCAATTTTTCTTTAAGAAAAATCTCATTACACTACTATGGCATGGTAGCTCACACCTATAATCAGCGCTTTGAGAGGCCAAGGCAGGTGGATTGCTTGAGCTCAGGAATTCCAGACCAGCCTGGGCAACATGGTGAAACCCCATCTCTACCAAAAATACAAAAATTAGACAGGTGTGGTGGTGTGTAACTGTAGACCCAGCTACTTGGGAGGCTGGGGTGGGAGGATGGCTTAAGTCTGCGGGTCAGAGGTTACAGTGAGCCAAGCTTGTGCCATTGCACTCCAGCCTGGGCAACAGAGCCAGAAAAAAAAAAAAAAATCAGGCCTAAAAGAGAATAAATAATATCTTTATGTCTTTAATTTCTCTACATCTTCTACTGCTAACTTAACATTGACACTTTTGAGTCCCTGCTGTTTCAGAACTTGGGCCTTTGTCCCTACAAAATTTTAGATGGGTACAAGGAGAGAAACCTTAGAGAACAAACTACAGTGTGAACATAAAGAGTTCTTACATTAACAGAGTGTTAAATGCCACCACAGGTGTAAAGCTCACACTAATCTTAACATGGACTCCGTGACTTCAGAACTGCTCCCAGGTATGATATCTGAAGGTAAACACATCTACCAGGATAGCACGGAGAGCAAAATGCTACTCAGGGCCATTTGCAGCCCTCTTCACCATCTGTGTTCCCCTCCTCCCAACAGGAGAGCTGGACACTGGAAGTAAAGACTGTCCAGAATAGAAGTCAAACTACCAAGGAAAGCCAGTCTTCTCCAACTTCCAAAATTCACATTGGTATCAAGGCCTATCACCCACTCCCTCCAATGTGGTCAGTCCCAGTTCTTCTCATGGACTGTGGAAAAGCATTCAGATCTGGCTGAATCTTTACTTGTAATCTGACTTTCTACTTGAACTTGAACTTGGCTTCCCAACTTTTCTGTTTCTCAAAGAGCAAAGAAAAGTAGTTTCAGGAGAAATTTAGAATCTGAATACAAAACAAGTATGATTTCAACCTGTACAAGATGAGCCATTTATATGAACTACATTATAAACGGAAAGTTACCTAGGAAAATCCAAACATCCTCCTAATAATGTTTGTTATTAGGTCCCTCAAATTCCCTGAATCTTTTTTCCACAACAAAAAAGGGCATAAACAAATAAACAAGGTTACAGCTGTATAGAAACTGTGATGCCGGTGTTCAGAACGGGCCCCAGTAGAATGGTCCTCATATTTCTTTCTTTCTTTTCCTTTTTCTTTTTTTTTTTTTTTAAGTGGAGTTTCGCTTTTATTGCCCAGGCTGGAGTGCAATGGCATGATCTTGACTCATGGCAACCTCTGCCTCCCAAGCTCAAGCAATTCTCCTGCCTCAGCCTCTCTACTAGCTGGGATTACAGGCATGCGCCACCACACCTGTCTAATTTTGTATTTTTAGTAGAGACGGGGTTTCTCCATGTTGGTCAGGCTGGTCTCGAACTCCCAATCTCAGGTGATCTGCCTGCCTCGATCTCCCAAAGTGCTGGGATTACAGATGTGAGCCACTGTGCCTGGCCTGTTTCTCATCTTTCTTTTCTTTCACAGAGAGCTAAAGAGCTCCTGCCACACAGAGGCAAACATGTTAAACTCCGGTACCCACTAAGACAGCCATCTTCACTAAGAGTGACCTTGGTTCTAGGTGCTTCCACTCTGTGACTACTGCTGAAGCCCACACCTTGCCTGGAAAGTCAACCGTGGCAAAGCCCTACTGCCAGTCCTGCCAGGGGCTAGGTTGCGGGTGTTTCCAAAGGCAGGGAGCCCAGCCTTGAAACACTAAGCTCTGTAATGCATGCTCACTGTCCTTGAGTAACTGATGCAACTCACTTATCTGACAGTGTCCCACAAAAACTGGAGGAGTCATCTCGAGCACTGTTAAACAGAAACATAACCAAACCAGTTCACTTAGAGTTTCATATGTTGCCCTTTACCTTCTCAGATTTTATGTTGTACAAAGGGGTCTATAAGTAAAAATGATACAGGTCTGATCGATGAGTCTCTGTTTTTTTCTTTTTTTGAGATGAAGTCTTTGTTGCCCAGCCTGGAGTACAGTGGCACAATCTCGGTTCACTGCAACCTCCGCCTCCTGGGTACAGTGATTCTCATGCCTCAGCCTCATGAGTAGCTGGGACTACAGGTAAGCGCTACAACACCTGGCTAATTTTTTTTTTTTTTTTTTTTTTTTTAGTAGAGATGGGCTTTCACCATGTTGGTCAGACTGGTCTCAAACTCCTGACTTCAAATGATCTGCTCACCTTGGCCTCCCAAAGTGCTCAGATTAGAGGCATGAGTCACTGTGCTGGGCCTGATCAATGACAGTTTCTGATCTAAGGTTCCCAGCCCAACTTTACAGAAAAGATTATGAACACCAAAACACATCAATTTTAACCACAAATAAAATGCTATATACTTTACATTATGTGACATATGTAAACCAAACCAGGGAATCAGTAACAAATCACATTTCATTTAGTAACGCAAGAATAGAGTTGCACAGAGTGGGATAAAAGGCTCTGAGACTACACAGGAGCACCGGGACCTTTGAATAGTGTCTAAGGGGAGGGGCTGGACAGAGAAATGAGTGAAAGGCCAAGAAGAACAGCATGTGAGGCCTGGATCCAGTCTGAGCACGGGCTAGCTGGCCCATTTGTCAAAGGTGTCATGTATCACAAGAGAAACCAGCAGGGTGCTCCTAGTCTCCTGGAAGGTACTGGCTTGCCTGTACGATATGTATGGATCAGGCAGAGCACCACACAACTCCAAGTCTTTGAATTTCAGTTCACTCATTCATCACCCTTCTCAGATTTGTCAAGAATTCAAAACTCAAAAGCAGTCATATACAAAAGGTAAAACCAAGAGATCTTAAAAGCAGTAATAGAAAAGTTTAGGCCATGAAGCAAGAAGAGAAGGCTACCTGATAAAATCTAGATCAGTATGTCTCTAGAACAGAAGAAACGAAACGGTGACCAGGTCAGCTGGCCAGCCCTCCCACTGTCACAGACAGATTTACTTCCACAAACCCTTCTCTTCCTCTGATTTTATACTCAATAGCCGAGCAAGCACATTACTAGTACAATTGGCTCAAGGAAGCACTCTGGAAAGAAACTTCTTAACAAACATTAGTCTCATATGAATCTGAGTGTTAGAAAAAAACAGCTTATGTTGCACAATCCTCACAGACGCTATACATTAAAGTTTCAGATCTTTAGATATGTCAGACTATCTTAGGAAGAAAAAAGAACAGGATGAGGGTTATCTACCTGTCTTCTACTTTCCCAACTGCCCACCATTGTGATAGTTCACTGTTAGTTAAACCAATAAGCAGAGTACAAGTACCTGATCGAGCAATGCCACTGTCCCTGTCTTCATTCTGTCCTCTGCTTGGCATATCNGCATATCAACTGGTGTGCTGTGTGCTGAGATAAAGGAACAAGGAAATCATGTTATCAGCCTCTTCAGAGTTAAAGTCTGTAAAACGACTGCAGTAATTTTTACATTTCAAAGCAGGCTACTGCTACTGATGATTGGCATAAGCTTATAATAGAGACTAACTAGAAAGGAAAATTAAATATATAAAAAGATGGTGAGAAGAAAAGAGAACCAAAGTAACCATCTGACTGTATTCAATTGTAGCATATGAACTTTTTTGAGTGATGTTCAACTCTTAAAAACAGATGAAAGAATTATTATTTGAATAATAAATTATCTGAATAATAAATGATTTGTGCAGTTGATGCAATGAACGAACATTTTCAGGTAGTTTTTTAGTAGTAGTATTTAAATAGCAATGTCTTTTCAAAATGCTTTATAATCAGTTTTAGTAGTAACTGTAGGCGACTTAGGGAAGAGAAATACTTGAAAACCATTTCATAAATTCGAAAAATGTTTCTCTGTTTATAACCCACTCTCTTGGCAGATAGAAAACATTTATGTTCATTTTCAAATATTTCTTCCTCCATTTCTTTCCATATACACCCATACACAATATTATTGTAGAGTTACTTGGAAAAACTCACATCCTGGCATGAATTTTGGAAAACACTCTGAAGTATTACAGACTTCTAGGAATGCTTCAGATTGGCCTAAGCTGTATACTTACTGAGCTAGAAGGCAGATGTGATGCTGCTGTAGTGAAGTTCTACAATGGACAAGCAGCCCAGTGCTCTGCCTGATTATTACACCTGCCAGCTGTTTTTTAAAGCATGTTTATTTTCACAGTTGTAAAGAAAGTATTTAAATGCGTTATCCTCACTCTAAGTAGGTGGGAGGATGTCAATTTCATTAGGGTATCAGCTAACTATGGTGCTTAGCATATTTCAGGCCACAAAGAAAAGAAAGAAAAATACCATTTGCTATACTCACAACTTTAAATGTTAGTAATGGAGGTTCCCCACAAGTTAATCATGCCAAGACAAGTTAAATCTCAGAGACACCAAGATGACTATACCTGTAAATAACCTAGAAATTGTATTTACACTACTTAATCGAGAGAGAGACAGAGAGAGAAGTCTTCCATGCTCTTATTAGCGTGACTTTTAAAGAAACTCCGTGCAGGTAAGGATGCAGTTGAATAAACGGGTAAAGGACACCAAGGCAAAGGGAAACATTTCATAGTAGCAGAAGAGGCCCAGAAAAACCAGAAAAAAAAAATCCTCTTAGAAATACTAAGGGCTCATTTCAGATTAAAATCGGCTTACACTGAGAGTATTAGTGAAGACATTCACAAGAGAGGTTCATTGGTGGAATTTTCAAAACACCATGGATTTGGCTGCATTTGAAACCAATATCTGCTATCACAAGAGCCCCTTGGATTTCTAGAGAGGCAGAAGTAGGATTTTTTTCCTAAGAACCTGCACAGGATTTATTAATGTGTGTGGGTCACACTGTACTCAGCATTCCACACAAACCTGCAAAGAAAGAAGCACTCCGGGTGAGCCGGAGAGGTCCTCCTTCAGCTACCCCCTGCAGCAGTTTGCTGCTGCATGCTTGCAGCAGACCTAGAGATGGAAACACATAGAAGAGGGCAAACAAAGTACACACACAAAAAATAAACATAGATTAAAGATAATGCAAAAAAAAAAAAAATTCAAATAAAGCAAAACACACACCCACAATAGTGTTTTCAGAAAGAAAGAATTTGTGTGTCCGATTTTACCTAGGTTACTTGCAGTACGACAAGGACCCAAACTATTCTGATTTGTGTTCAGTTTTCCCAAATTAGGATCTTGGTTGATGTACTCAAAGCTGTCTTGCAAGCTGTATGGGGGGGGGAGGGGGAGGAGAAAGAGGACAAAAATGTCAAGAAGCTACTAAAGCTGTTTTCTAATAGACTTGCAAATACAGACAACAACTAATCAGTTCCTCAATACTTTTTTTTTAATAAACAAATGAAGTCTCACATATACCAAAGGGAATTAAACTTGCAACTTCAGGTGAATTTGTTGGAAGAAAACAAAAGCTATTTTGGAGGTAGCTCAACCCATGTAACTAAACAGCTGTACTTCTAATAATTTCATCTTATATAATAGACACCAAACTGTAAATTTTGCTTCAGTGACTGACCCTTAGGATACTGCTATTCATTTCTACATTTTGCTTAAGCAACTGACACCCAACAAGTTGCCATCCATTTCAAGTATTTTACATAAACCCTCAAAATGAAATTAACTTTTACTTGTGGTTAATATCAATGAACAATTCAGCAACATTTTTCAGGAATAAAATATAACAAATTATAATTCTTACAGGAGTTTCATTTCACAACTTCTAAAAACAATTACTCATAAAAATATGAGGGAAGCAGACTTTAATAATTTGTTGTATTTATTAACAATTAAAGACTTTTGCTGTGTGTAGAACTGACAAAAACAATGACAAAAAGACCTTGAGAATAATACAGCATAATGAAGCCAAAATAATTTTTACATAAATCTGCATTTAAAGGAATTAATGCAATAAATATTCAGGTAATCTCAAGGGTCAGTTAAAAACAAATCTCATAAGAAATAAATAATTCTCATATTGGCTTAAGTCATGACAGTCCCATGTTAAATGCTCAAACTGTTTTGTTGAAGAGTAAGCCAAGACTCATTCAATGGTATTAAAACATATAGAGAAATATTCTTAATTTCCCAGGATAAGAAAAAACAGCTTTCACTTGACCCCTAAGAATGTCCTTTAGTTTATAACGAGCCTTTCTTTCAAATTTATCAAAGTATAACCTGTGCTTTCTTTTAAAAAAGGAAGTATATGAAATATTTCTACTTGAAAGTTCAAGATATATGAATGAATATGCCAAAATGAGTTTAAGTTATTAGATATTTCAGAATTCATTATGCAGAAGTGTAAAATCAGAGGAAAAAAGTTAGGAGTTTTTTAAAAAGTAAAAATATTGCATGCCCCAAGTACCAATCAATCACAAAGGCTAAACCGACCACTCAGAATAGATGGCAAGAACAAACAAACCACCCGGCCACACAGGTGCTTATCAGACTGGAAAAACTCATTACGCACTTTAATCCTTCAGAAACAATTTGAGATAGGGTCTTGGTTTGTCACCCAGGCTGGAGTACAGTGGCACAATTACTGCTGACTGCAGCCTTAACCTCTCAGGTTCAAGCGATCCTCCCTTATCAGCCTCCCAAGTAACTGGGACCACAGACATGCACCACCATGCCCGGCTAATTTTTTTTTATTATCATTATTTGTAGAGGCAGGGTCTCCCTATGTTGCCCAGGCTTGTTTTGAACTCCTAGGCTCAAGTGACCCTCCCACTGGAATCCCAACATATTGGGATTCCAGGCATGAACCACCATGCCAAGATATTTTTTTTAAAAAAAGATAAAAGAATACTGGAAAACACAGTAAGATTATTAATGTAGCCCCTTCCCTTTTTTTATTTTTTATTTTCCAAGAAACTAAAAATTGGCAACTGGGTAACAGATGACTCATTTGTCTTTAGGGCCACCTAATAAAGTCAAAGGATTTTTTTCACTGTTTATAGGACAGTAGCCACTTTTAAAACACCTTTGTTAATTTGGACTTATTCTGCTTCTCATTTCAAAATGCCTTGTGACCGTTAAAGAATTACTCTTTCAAGAAATATACACTTTAAAAAAATGGGGTGGGGAGTGCAAAATCCTACACTTACTTATTTGTACTTCCACAGAAGCTGCCCATTCTAGCAGAGAAGACTTTACTAATCATCAGTTGTGGAGGAGAACTGGGAAAAAAAAGGAAGGAGGGGGGAAAACACATTTATGAGTTAAGGAGTCAATACCACCATTGCACTTCTCAAAACTAGTAGAATAGGAAGCCTAGACTCACCGGATGTAGTGTATCTTTAAGGTGGAGCCTTTGTAACTCATTGCAACTGAGCCAAACATCATTTCCCCCAACATGTTGACATCAGAAGCTGGTCTTGTGTACTACATGCAAGAAACCGAAATCAAAGTTAGTACATGGAACGTGACATGCAATAAAACAGAAAGTAATGTTTATTAATCTCATTAGTGTCATCGATAATTAAAACTATTTCTCAAAGCTTCAAGTGGTCATCTTACAATCTTAATTTATCATGGCGATTGCCTATTTGCCCCCCAAAGTATTACTAATGTTTGGGATTTCTCTTTTATACACAATATTATCATATAGGAGCCAAGTGTTTTATCAGAGTTCATTTTTATTTTTGTTATGAGAAACAAAGATTACTATTATTTCTATTTATAAACCCTGAATAGAAGATTAAAATATGAAAATAACAGTAACTCTACTCTTGCTACTAAGAAAATATCCTGAAAAGAAATATGGTTCAGTATTATTCACCCAAATAATTAACAGTATGGCAAAAAAAATGCCCATTGCTCCAGGTAGGGTTTTGTGAGGGCACAAAAGATAACAGATGGTCTGATAACCCTAAAGTTTTACAAAAGTATTTCAAAAACATTTGTCCCCTCCAGCTTCTGGCCAGTCTCTCTCATCCTTTTATCATCCAAAGGGTGGACTGCCTGCCTCTCCTTCCTCCACTCTCACTGGCTTGTTACTCTTAACGTCCAAACTAGTCCAGCTACTCCAATGATGACCTCCTCCCTCTTAGTGAAATCCAATGGACACTTTCCAGTTTGCTTTATTAAACTTCTTTCAATATATCTGATGCTGTTCACGATTCTCCATTTTGAATCTCTTCTTTCTCAGATCATCCCTTACTGTGATTTTGCCTGGAGGTCACCCTACTAACTGCCTGCATTTTCAACCATTCTTTTGATTTTGATAATTGTTTACATAGGATACCCCTTACATCTTTGTCCCTAGGCCCAGAGCTCTCCTGGAGATCTAGAACCCTATACCCCAATACATCCATTCACCTAGTGACATCTGAATGAGTGTCTTGGGATATAGGGTTCTTAGTACCTACGCTAAGTGTGGTGACACACTGATGAACACAACAGGTATGAATGCCGAGCAAATCGGCGTGCCACAGGGTGGCCACAAAGCAACCATGGTTCTGCACCTTGACGTACCAACTAGATTCTCTATCAGTGTGCCTTCCAACCAAGACAAAACACAGGAATCACCTTTAACATACTCTTCCAAATCTTTTTTAAAACTCCTAATACACACACACAGACAGACATGCAAGTACACACACACTGACACACAAATACACACTTGCTTATACAAGGTTGCAGAGGTGGAAAGAGAAAGATAAATCTATCAGCCCTGTTCAGTTAGGTTCCCCTCTCTCGTTACAGCTCACACCAACTTCTTCCTACTATACACTGACAGAAACCAACTGGTTTTCCCATTCCTTATTACTAACTTCCACCCACCTCCCTCATTTATAATCTGCTTTTTCTTGGGGTACAAGGGCCACATGCCAACTGTGATTCTCAACCTGCTGAAAATTCTACTCTATACTTTTTAAACTGCAATCCGCTTTGAGACCCAGGCACACTATGTCTCAAAAAGGGCAAAAGAGTGGCACAAATCCTGACTATGAAATTAACAAAGTCCTCTGGATCCATAGCTGCTGCTAATTTCCCTGGTTCCAGCAAAACAGTAGACAAGATTCTACGAGGGCTTAAAACAAGTTCAATATATCCCCCATCAATTGATATCCTTCTGCCATTTAATATTTATAAAACATCTCGTCCTTTTTATCTTGTTAGCCAATATTTCTCAATAACCTTAACGCTTTCCTTACACACACACACACACACACACACACACACACACTATAAAAAATGCCACCAGCCTTGTATCCTTCATACTCAAATTAGATCTTGCCATTTCTTTCCTCTTCCATACAAGGCTTTCTTCCTTTTACTGGCATGTTCTGTTTTCTTAGGATGCCCATATACATTCCCAGAATCCTTAGGAATTCTTATAACAAAACTGGAAAGTACATGTTTATTATTCTGGATCAGACAGCAAAGGAAACAAAGCAAGGTAATTTGCCTGACTGGTAATATTTCTTCCTCATCCAGTACACAGTAGGCTGTATCACCTCTGCTTGATTACAGTTTTTATTGGAGATAAAAGCCAAAGAGCAAAAACAACATCAATGTGAAACATTTAAGAGTACTCTGTTGAATACTTGTCCTCATATTTCTGGAGCAGAGCCCTCAAGCAGGCATTACTTCCCAAGGAGAAATTATAGTTTAAATAACTTTAACCCCAGGGGCTATTCCCACAGAAGGGATGGCTGTACCTGGTACTTTGGAAGCGGCTCCTTCACATGGTGTGAAGATCCCCCGGAAGAACTGTGGGAAGAGATGAGGCTGCTGCTGCTGCTGCTGACGCTGCTGCTGACACTGCTGCTCCCCTGGCAGCACTTGGCTGATATTTTAATAGGGATATCTTCTGTTTTCTAGGTTGAGAGAGACAGGCAAGGCAAAACGTTACTAAGTATATCAGGTTCGTCAACAGTTCTTCATTGGGAATTCCTTTTTAAAAGCATTCTGGTGCCTAAGTTGCATTAAAAACCAGAAACTTTTCTTTTTTTCTAATAATGACAAAAATATGGTTCCTGAGAGTCTATAATGGAAAGGCAGAATGCTGAAGAAGGGTTCTAGACAAAAGGAGGTAGGTTATGTATTAAGACTTTATCCTCTTCTAATAATTAACTATTATTTATACTTCATATAATTGATCTCTGTTTTGGTTATTAGATTTTTGGTTATTAGCTTTTTAGTACTATGTAGAGTCATAGTCCATTGAATTGGAGAAAGATGAGGCTTCAAATCTAAATTTTTACTAAGCACATTGAACTAATAAAACTATTAACTTGGACAGGCTGGCTTGTGTTTTTAATGACACACCTCCTCTGGTACTCCTTTAAAGGCAACAGGAAGGAAAATCATGAGGTTGAATTTGTAAGGGATGAAATCAAAACCCTGAAACAGGAGCTACTGTGAATTACATAGCATGTGATGGAAATACGGTCTTCAAAGGTTAAGGACAATAGAGGATTCTCCACTATACATTCCCCAAATAGAGTTTGTCACTAATTTTTATCACAGTGACAAAAGCATAAGGATAAACCTTTATTAACATTTACCTTCCCGTTGAATATATTACTCCCTACAGAAGCCTCCTGCACCCTCCATAAGTTGTTTCTATTCTGAGTCTTCTTTGCCTTTTTTTCCCTTGTGCAGCTTTTGCTTGGAGAAACATGAATGCAATTGCAGCTTATCTAATCTCCAGTGTGACAGTCACACTGGTGGTCTAATGCAAATGCCTACAGTCATGTGCTTGATACAAACTCATGATGTTTTGTACTTGCCAAGGGAGGCTGGGGCGGTGGGGACTGAAAATGGGAAAAGAATGTAAGGAAAACACAAAATGTGCTGGACCACAACCATCACTCCAGCAATGATGGCATTCAAAGCGGCACTTGGTTATTCCTGAGCATCCAGCACTCCCTCAACACTCTCTCAAGATATAGCTGTTACTTAGTATCACTTAAGCCAGAAACACAGCCCCTCAAAGGGCCTAAGTGACACAAGTCCCACCTGCCTCAGACTGATAGGCCCTTTGGCTGGAGTACAACACGCTGAACAGTCTATAATTGGAGATGGCACCTGGTATGGTGAATAGAGCACTAACTGGATTCTTTTGTAGACTTGGGCAAACTACAAACCTCCTGAACCTAAGAGACCTTTTTGGTTAGATGAGTGCTTCTAAGAAAGCCTATGTTTCCAGATTCCAGCATGATCACTGCTGCAGTACACTGAAGATTCCAGTTCCTTTTGAAAACCTGTGTTTCTTTTCCGCTCCACCAGCCATCACTATGAGCAGTCCCAGTGATAGGAGCTCAACTAAAACATCCATGTTTGGCCTTCAGAGAAATGGGAAATAATTCAAGAAATCAAGAGGTAAACCATCTCCTGTCCACCAAAGGGCCAAGTGCTGGCGCACCTAAATTTCAGTTACAAAGCTAACCAGGAAAGCCCACAGTGAATCACCTGAGAGATTTCTTGGTCTCACGCCCCTCCCCTCCACCTACCTAACAAGCCCAACAACTACTGTAATGATTAGCCACCTGGCAGAACTCCACTTTAAAATATTGTAGAATCCACCCAGCTAAACTGTGTTTAACCAAACACTTCCTTCCTGCAGAAATGATCCTTATCAAAAGCAGGAAAACAACCCCTTGGCCTTGAAGAGACAAAGACTGTATTATAAACGTTCATTTACTTAGCTGCATATTCTACAAAGTGCCAGTATTTGGTCAGTATGGGTAGCAACTTATTGAACATAAAAAGAATGAATACAAATGGATTTATTTAATTTGTAGGCATCTGAACAAATATTGAAAAGAGCATGAAAGGTCTAAAGTGAATTTAGAAGTACTGTGGTCTCCCATCCAAAAAGACCCAGAAGAGATCAGACTCTTCTCACCTTCAACATGTTATTTTACCATTCCCCTTCTGGCTCCAAGGGACCAAGAGCTGCTCTGTCCTCATTCTACCCATCCTTTGTCCCCCACCCCACACCACCACCACCACTACCACCCAACTCTCCACGGAAAAAAAAAGGGAGGGGGGAATAAATAAAAGCTCCCCTGGTCATAAGGGTTTGAGAAACAATCCTTTTGAAGGCAACGATGCAGATTTGCATATGGAAGGCACAGAAGTGAGTAAGGCTGTGTGCTTTTGTTAACCCACGGCTACTTATTTATCTATGAGAAACATTAGACAGAATGATATTCAGGCTCACACTTTTTTAAAATGAATTTTGGAGTTCTCCTTTCCCATTACATTTGAGGCACACACTTGCCATCAAAATCTTACTGGATTGTAACTCACTGGCAAATTTACCTCTAGTACTATTAATAGTTCGCTACTTAGCTCCTGTCATGATTACTTGCTAACGGCTTCACTTGCGTTTAGTAGTGAGCATACTCATACCTGTTGGGGATAGGGCTTTGATTATTCAACGCTTGCTTATGTTTCTTCTGAACCATGAATGGCACTGTACAATATAACTCAAAGAGAAGATTACAGATTAATCAATGATTGATCAGAGGGGTGGTTAAAAGCACAAAAGAAAAAGGAGAAAGCAAATCAGCATTTCATACCTGAGCTGTCACCTCTTCAATCTTTTGAACAGCTTTAGAGTCAAACAAGACTTGTCTGCCTCTCCTTTCACAGTCCTGGTAAACTATCAGGCGAATCTCATTCAGGTCAAACTCCGAACATGACCAACTGTGGATTAAAAAGAGAGAAAGAAGTTATGTTATCCACAACACGTGAGATGATCATGGACAGATAAGCTTCCCAGTCACCATGCCTGCGTGCACATCAAAAGGTCACAGCCATGCAGGGATAGTGATCCTCTCAGAACTGGGGCACCAGTGAGCCTGGGACAGATAGCCTTTTATGTGGATTCCAACTGGCCATACGAAAATTACCAGTTTTCATGATAAGGGCAGAGAAGACTGCTTTAAATAATAAATCACTGGAGAGAAAGCTTCTCCTTCCAAAGCCAGTTTGGACACAGATGGCAGTCAGAAATCACAGGGACATGCAGAGAGGGCTAAATTTGGATGCCTGCGTTCTGGGGACAGCATATCGGAGTTAAAGGAGTGTTAAAGCTTCTGTGTTGTTGGTTCAGGAACCAATTGGAGCAAGCTGGTAGAGCCTTCTCTTCCTCTCTCCCACTCACCCACACTGAGGTCAAATTGAGAGGAATTACACACTCTAAAATTTATTAGTTTCCCCGATTATGGCTAGCTCTAATACAGGAGTTTCAAAAGCCAAGTGCATCACTGTAGAGTATCAGAATTGCTAGCAATTATAGTCAGCAAGAAGGGAAGCATGTTTCTAAGCAAACCAAAAGCAACTGGGATAAAACTGCTCTGAGGAAAACATAGGTTCTTTCTTAGTAAATGACAGAGTGAGGAAACTATAGAAAAAGTAATCATTTAAAAATGCATGGCTTTGGGTAGACTCAGTTTTTGACCCATCAGTCCAGTCAACACGTGTTTGAGTGTCTGTGATGTTCCAGGCGCTATGGCTGCTGCTGGAGACTCAGCAGTTAACTGGAAAGACCTGGTCCCCGCCTTAACGGAGTTCATGGTTCAGTGGGGAATATTAGGCAAGGAATCACAGATGAATGTATCACTACAAACTGTGAAAGTACAAAAAGGAGCAGTAAACGGTTTCAGATTTCCAGACTGAAGAGGTGGGGAAGAGGGACAGGGAAGTCTCTAAGGACTTGAGGTGACATTTAAACACAGACCTGAAGAAGTAAAACGGATGAAGTGCACCACAGGAACAGTGAGGGACGTGGTAAGGTCTAAGACTGCCACACTGGAGAAGGCAAAAGACAAAGACCAGAGAGCAAGTGCCGCGAGGTGGAAAGGACCGCAGGCGGGGGCCAGGATCATGCTCTCCCTCCTCGAGAAACCAAGGAAAACAGATGCTTGATAAGATCAGGTCTGCGCTTTTTGAAAGTTCAATCTGGCTGTTAAGGAAAACGGGGGTGGAACAGATGAAGACTGGAAGCAGGAAGGCCAAACAGAATTCATAATTAGAGTTCCAGCCCTTCATAATGAAGGCTAGAACTGCGGCGGCAGAGGAGGGGAAAAGGGGACCGACTGTGGTGGCATGCTCACAGGACAGAGCTGAGCCGGTTTCCCAATGGACTGGAGAGGTGCCCAAGGTGAAAGGCAGCCAACTGGTTAGAGAAGCCGAGGGGGAGCTCTGAAGGGACAGAGGAGGGCAAACAGACAAGCAGACAGACATACAAATGCAAACTGTAAAACTAGGAGGCAGTATAAATGAAGTCAGACACATCTGGATTAAAATCCAAATGCCTCCGGCCTTCTAATTCTTCATCAGTACAATGAGAATGTTAAGCCTGCCCTTACAAAGGCTGTATGGGTTAAATGAAATGCATAAAGTGTTTCATACAAAGAGTGACATACAGTAAGTGCTCCAAAATGGCAATCATTACCTCAGAGGATTTACTATTATGATTTTTAAAGAAAATTAATATCGTGTCTGATAATCACAAATTGTGCATTTCTGGTCTTTTCCATTTTCAGGCAGTTAATACTGAACATGTTCTTTTTGGGTAGCAGATTTGTTTTCTTAAATCCCTACAGCAAAACATATAAAGTTCTGGTTGCACCTTCTTTCAACAAGCTGTGTCCCAAACTATCGTGCCTAGCATCCTTTCTTCCTAATTTTAATAACAATATGGCAAGTTTATTTTCAAACCATTTTCCCCCTACTCTCAGTCCAGAGAGAGTCCATGTTTCAGGTCTGGCTAATGAGACATGGCCATATGACCCAAGCTGGCTGTGTGAGTCAGACCCAAAACTCAGTTGTCCGGCTTGTAAGTAGTAATCCTGGCATTGGCAGTGGCTATTTTTGCCATCATGAAGTAAGGGCCTGTCTGAAAATGAAGTCAGCATGGAGGAAAGCAGAGGTGAGCAATGGAATGAAACAGATTCCTAGCAGCACCAGAAGCCAGTTGTTCCTGAGTAAGTACTATTCCTGGAAATAGTTCACGGTTACTTACAACCAACACAGTCTGATGACTATGACTCAGACCACTGAATTTTAAAATTACAGAAGGCCGAGGAGGGTGGAACACTTGAGGTCAGGAGTTCGAGACCAGCCTGGCAAACCACGGCCAACACGGTAAAACCCAATCTATATTAAAAATATGAAAATTAGCCAGGTGTACTGGTGGGCACCCATAATTCCAGCTACTTGGGAGGCTGAAGCAGCAGGATTGCTTGAATCTGGGAGGCAAAGGTTGCAGTGAGCCAAGATGGCACCACTGCACTCCAGCCTGGGTGACAGAAGGAGATTCCATCTCAAAATAAAAAAAATTACACAAGATCATTAAAAAGGGCCTGAAATTATATATTATCATAAAATAGTACATATGTTGAAGTTGTTAAAAGTAAAAAAAAAAAAAACAGAATTGCCTCGCATTTTCTTTTCCATTTTGCCCTAATAATTATATTTTACCAAGACAGCATAATTTATAACCAAGTTGTTCAATCCTCATTTTTGAAGAATAACATGTATTCAAATATCAAACTGAAAACAGCTAGTATAGAGGAGATAAAATTTAATAATGATCATAACACCTTATTAAATGTTTCATGTTATTTTTCAATGAAAAAAAGATGGAAATAAAAATCATGGAAGATTGTTCTAATCCAGGAGTCTAAAAATAATCTTTTTTAGAGACAACAGATGCTGGAGAGGATGTGGAGAAACAGGAATACTTTTACATTGTTGGTGGGAGTGTAAATTAGTTCAACCATTGTGGAAGACAGTGTGGCAATTCCTCAAGGACCTAGAAATAGAAATTCCATTTGACCCAGCAATCCCATTACTGGGTAGATATCCAAAGGATTATAAATCATTCTACTATAAGGACACGTGCACACGAATGTTCATTGCAGCACTGTTTACAATAGCAAAGACCTGGAACCAACCCAAATGCCCATCAATGATAGACTGGACAGGGAAAATGTGGCACATATACACCATGGAATATTACGCAGCCATCAAAAACGATGAGTTCGTGTCCTTTGTAGGGACATGGATGAACCTGGAAGTCATCATTCTCAGCAAACTGACACAGGAGCAGAAAATCAAACACTGCATTTTCTCCCTCATAGGTGGGTGTTGAACAATGAGAACACATGGACACAGGGAGGGGAGCACTACACACTGGGGTCTGTTGGAGGGAAATAGGGGAGGGACAGCAGGGGGTGGGGAGTTGGTGGGGGGATGGCATGGGGAAAAATGCCAGATATAGGTGAGGGGAAGGAAGGCAGCAAATCACACTGCCACGTGTGTATCTATGCAACAATCTTGCATGTTCTTCACATGTACCCCAAAACCTAAAATGCAATAAAAAAAAATCTTAAGGCCGGGCGCGGTGGCTCAAGCCTGTAATCCCAGCACTTTGGGAGGCCGAGGCGGGTGGATCACGAGGTCAAGAGATCGAGACCATCCTGGTCAACACGGTGAAACCCCGTCTCTACTAAAAATACAAAAAATTAGCTGGGCATGGTGGCACGTGCCTGTAATCCCAGCTACTCAGGAGGCTGAGGCAGGAGAATTGCCTGAACCCAGGAGGCGGAGGTTGCGGTGAGCCGAGATCGCGCCATTGCACTCCAGCCTGGGTAACAAGAGCGAAACTCCGTCTCAAAAAAAAAAAAAAAAAATCTTAAAAAAAATAATCTTAATTAAAAAAATTTTTAAAAGACAGGGGGGAAAATATGTATTTCAGATTGTCTCATTTTTTAATCTAAATGCTTTAGAAGTATTTTATAAGATATGAGTGATAGACACAGTGGCTCGTACCTGTAATCCCAGCTAATTAGGTTGCTGAAGCAAAGAGGATCAGTTGAGCCCAGGAATTCCAGACAAGACTGTACAACATAGCAAGACCCAGATTCTTTAAAAACTTGAAAAAAATTAGCTGGTTATTATGGTATGCACCTGTAGTCCCAGGTACTTAGGAGGCTGAGGCAGAAGGATCACTTGAGCCCAGGAGTTCAAGGCTGCGATGAGCCATGATCACACGATTGCACTCGGACTCTAGCCTTGGTGACAGAGCGAGATCCCATCTCTTAAACAAACAAACAAACAAACAAACAAAATGGTCAGGTGCAATGGGTCACGTCTGTAATCCCAGCAATTTGGGAGACTGAGGCTGGTTGATCACTTAAGCCCAGGAGTTTGAGGCCAGCCTGGGCAACAGGGTGAAACCTCATCTCTACTAAAAATACAAAAAGTTAGCTGAGTATGGTGGGGCACACCTGTAGTCCTAGCTACTGCAGTGCGTAGGCTGAGGTGGTAGAATCACCTGAGCTCAGGAAGTCGAGGCTGCTGTGAGCTAAGATCACATCATTGCATTCCAGCCTGGATGAGAGAGTGAGACCGTATCTCAAAAAAAAAAAAAAAAAAAAATTAAAAGAATTTTTTAAAAAAGAGGAAAACTCTCTTCTTCTTCCATATGAATACTCTCTTTGATTTAATACATAAATTTAATTTCAACATTGACATTTCTTTTCTTTCTTCCTTTTTTTATTTTTTGGAGACAGGGTTTTGCTCTGCCACCCAGGCTAGGTCAGCGGCACCATCTCAGCTCACCGTAGCCTCAACCTCCCGCTCAAGCAATTCTTCCACCTCAGCCCCCCAAGTAGCTGGGACTACAGGCATGCACC